AGCTGAGAGAAGTCCAGCTTTAGTCATGTACTAAATACATGTTCTGTGGCTGACACTGCAGGTGGTGGAAATGCCCATATGTCTGTGTTCCTGACTGTGCTTCTTATAACTTTAATTCTCCCTTCATTTTTCTCTCACTAAACCTCAAGGATGTAGGAACTCAGCTTTTGCTTTAGTATTGAAGAATTTCACTGATAACATTGTGGCCTGAAAACTAGATAATAAACTGCTTTATGATCTAGTAATGCTGGAGCTGTTTCATAAATTGAACCTCTCTGTGCAGGAATCTTGACCTGTGTTCATCAGCAGAGAAGTTCAATGGTACAGAATTGAAAGTGGTCCCTAAGAAAGGGGAGCATCGAAAACTATTCTATGAAAGCATTTTTTAATTTTTTATATCAAAATTCAGTCATTAAAATGAACTTTATAGGAAAATAAAGTCCTTTCAAGTCTTAAACCATAGATGAGCAAGATATAGTAGTAGGACTTCTCTGTTGCATTAAAATAGATCATTACCCATGAATTTATAGTCATTACAGTGATGAAAGTAGTAGAAAAAGTGATTATTAATGCTATGACTATTTAAATTTTGAATTGTAATTCTCCATTTCATTGGATATACCAAGTCATGATTTGTAACTAATGTAAATAGTAAAGTTTGGTGTTCCCTTGCTTCTTTGTGATATTTACAAACTTGAGGCTAGTTATTCAAGTGCAGAACCATGGAAAAATTATCGATCTTTTCTAACGTGCAAAGTTAACACTGAATAAAATGTCAGTCATCTTTAGAACTCTGGATTGCTTAGAGTTATACATGTACTAAAAAACATCACGTGACTGTGCATTTTCTTGTGCTTTCCTGCTATTTAGATGCCCAGCCTACAGAGTCTGAGAAGGAAATTTATAATCAGGTGAATGTAGTATTAAAAGATGCAGAAGGCATCTTGGAGGACTTGCAGTCGTATAGAGGAGCTGGCCATGAAATACGAGAGGTAAAGCATACGTGTTTTCCAATACACTGAAAGTTACTATTTTCATCTATTGTTTTCTGTACTTCAGAATTCTTAAATATTAAATATTATATTTAAAGGAAGATCACTTGCATTATTTTGAAAGTGGTTGCAGTGATATAAAAGGAAAAGGAAAATAGTGTTCACAAATATGTAATTTATGTATATGAATGAAAATTTTGTTGTTTGTTTGTGTTTTTGTTTTTTGGTTGCTCTCACACCTGAAATGTACCGTATCCATGGGGAACTATTTGTCCTTTCTTTGGAGGGGCGGAGAGAACAGAATTTTCTTTGGCTTGTTTCTTCTGCCAGTCTGTTTTTTCCGCTCCTCTTAAGCTTCCTTGGGGAAGGCTGAAGCCGTCCTTGAGGCCTGCACACCCCCAACCCTGTCTGATGACTACACCACAGAGCAAATGTTTGGTGTGGTCTGCCTCCACTTTGTTCCGCAGAATCTCTGAACTAACCCAGGATTCTTTCTGTCCATCTCTTATTCCATTTCTTCTGTGTTTCAGGAGACGCTGTGTCTCTACTTCTTACCAAGACTAACACTTCTCTACCTTTGTTTATTCTCCANTCTTATACGCCGGCAAATACGGTAGATTTTTAAATATGTTTTCTTTCGATTCTAACATTAGAATACTCTTAATCAATGTTATCTCAGCCATTTGCATATTAATCTCTGTTTTTGGACATTTGCTTTTGTAAAAGTTTACCGTATCATTAGGATACCCAGTGAGTGGCCTCAGCCCATCGGATGGGTTCTCTCTCAAACTGTTGTATACCAGACTCAAAATTGCCAAAAGTCGATTTGCCAGTTCCTCATGATTACTGAGAAAAAAAGCGACATTCTTTTATGAAAGTATTTAGCATTACCTGATCTAGTTTTAGATGAAGAGTAATATTCAGGTTACCAGAGTAATTTAGTTTAACTATTTCCATCATCCTGATTGGTTAAACCTAGCTCAGTGTATCTATCTCCATGATTGGGCAACTATGGAAATAATTTCGTACGGATAAATGTACTGGCATTTTGCGTCAGGCTGTATACAAACTGACTATTCCACTACATGTTAACCATGATTCGGTGGAATCCTATAATTTACAAAATAAAGACTATGTCTTGATTATAAATCATTAAATCATTACTCCCTTAACTTATGTGTGCGCACACACAAGTGCTGTTTTTCACTTCAATACAATGCACATTTATAGCTTGTCCCCTGTGTGCTAGCAAGTAGGTGCTGGGGATGCAAAGATAACAAAGTACAACTTCTGCGTTTGGGGAGTTCTCAACCTAGTAGAAGAGATAGAAATGCCAATTAATAATTTTGTTTACATTCAAGGTGTAGATCAGGAAAGGGTTAACTTTACCTAGCAGTGAGTAGATTGGGCATCACAGGACTTTCTGATGGCAACATTTGAGTTAGGTTGTGGAGGGTGGATTAGAATGTTTCAGGCTAATTTAGTGACGGACATTGTAGAAGGAACATGTATAGAGGCTTTAAGGCATGAAATGATAATCGGTGTTCATTGAAACATGTTATCTATTCTTCAGATTCTAGAAAGAGGGTCTTTTTCTTAAATCAAGTTATACCTATGTGATAAGATTTTATTTTTAAAATAATGTTTCAGTTAAGATATAAGCTCAGAATTGCCCCATAAAATTTGGCACCACTTACGTTGATAATGACAGCATAGAAAAAGCACTGAATTTGGGGCCTGTGTAACCTCTTCTATTGTAGTTCTTGGGAGTTTCTTATTTTATAATGACATTGTTCGTTTATTGCTCATTCTAATGACAGTTTTTTAGCCTAATGTATATATAGTTCACTAAATTAATGGTTTTTGGTAGAAGAGGGACTTTGATTTATTTTTATGTCCCTTCCCAATCTTAGCATAGTGCCTTGTAAGTGAAAGAAGTTCAGTATTTGTTAGTTCATCTTGATTTACTTATCTTCAGTTAGACCAGAGTAGGAGAGTAAATATAGGTGGGTATTTATAAATGAGAAATAGAATCTTACTGTCTCTGATTCTTTGTTTTAATGCCTTTCCATCTAGTCATACATTGCCTCTAATTCTTGTGTCTTTTGTGTTACCTGTCCCCCCACATCTTTTAAGAATATTGATACCCACTCTTTTAGTCTAACTTTATTTTTTCGTTTTACCTCTTGCATATTTTCAATTGTTTTTGTCCTGTACTTTGAAATGTCTTTATTCTGGTGGCATTTTCTTATATTTATTTTTCTAAAATGATGTAGAACTTTATTTGTTCAGAGACAAAAATGCATAGGACCCTCCTCTAATTCATGCTGGAGGCATATTTATATCTGTACCTTCTCATTCATTCAACAAATATTTATTATAGAAAATCTAGGTACTGAGTTCACATACTGTATACAGTGGTATTACTGTACATTGAGGTTCCTGCCTTGATGAAGCTTATGGAGATAGAGTGTAAATATTTACTGAATGAATGCAAGATTAAAGCAGAAATACCTCTTACTGCAATTAGAATTTTTATGTGATTTGCTTTTTATTTTTTTCCTTTTGTAGCTGATTTTTGCCTCCTTTTGTACCATAACATCAATTTTACCAATTATTTTCAGTGATTCTTCTATAGGAAACTAGTGTGAAATTATTAAAATATTTAATTTTATCTTCGAACAATAAGAACAACTGAAACGTGCTCTAATTTCCCTTGAACAGCTTTTAAAACTAAGTTTGATGAGTAATCACTGTGACTACTCTCAGTAGTAGATACATTATTTTGCAATCAAAGGAGTGTCCTTTTGTTAGCTAAGTGGTACGTTTTTCTTCAAGTAATAATATTTTTCATTCTTTGCTATGAAAAATCAAAGTGACAAGTCTTGGGTGCATTATATGATACCATTTTTTGAAAAAATGCTTTCTTTTATACAGTCTTTTCCCCTCCCTAGTATTTCACCCTTTTGCATGACTTGCTATCAGTAAAGTAGTGCTTACCTGTCTGCTATTTTTCTGTTTGTCTTCATTTCCACAACAGTCTTCAGCAGCTTTCAAAATTATAAATGTGACTTTCCTGTGACAGTCTAAAAAATGTTTATAATCAGTGTGGTGCTGGGTATTTTTTCCACCCTTAAGGGAAACTGAAATCTTCTTTATTTTTAAATTTCTTGGTACTTATTAAATCTTTAATAATTATTAATCACTTCCAAGGTCTATTTAAATGTACTTGATAATGTATCTTTGTATGTTAAGTCTCAGTGTCACATTTTCTGTTAGCAACTAGTCACCACACCAAAAATACATAGTTTAGTACTTGCAGACTTTACAAAAACCTTTTGATATATAAAATCAAGATATTGTCCTCTGTCATGAATTCCCTCTTCATGAATAAACTATGATGTGTGTTTACTTTGGATGTTATGTCTGTAGTCACAATCCATGTGAAAAAGTATAAAGCTATTGTTTTTGCATGTAAAAAGCATTTTTCTCTACTGCACCTGGTGTAAGTATGAACGGTATGAGGTGTACTTTTAAAAAATATGTGTCTATGACTCTGAGAACGTGGTCTGGCTAAATGTGAAATGATATTACTGCTAAATGACAAACTCTGATTTTTAAACAATCATTTAGCTACAATATCAGTATTTGCTCCCAATAATACCTTTATAGCTTTGGATACAGTCTTTTTAATTTTTCAATTGGCTCCTCTTGTGTAATTATTTCATAATATTTTTATTAAAAAAATACATGATTTTTGAAAAGGAATTTGAAAAATAAGAGAACAGATATGAGAACACAGATTCTTAAGTTGGCTTTGCACATAAATGTTACTTTATTATTGTTTCTGTAGTACTATTTTAAGAATAATATGTTGAAATCAAAATTTGGGTACTGTAATTGTTGATTTTAAAAAATAGGTGGTATATTTTTGACTAGTTGGCAGGTTTAATAGGTGGAATTAAATTATGACTTGCCCCAAGTGCAAAATAAAGTTACAGTTTTTAGGCATCCGGACTCTTACTAGTTTCATATATGAACTAAGTTTCTTTAAATTTTTTAAGGAAAATAAATAAATCACTGTGTATTTGTGGGGAGGTGGAGTGGGTGCAAAAAGAAAAATCTAGGTACTAGTTTTATATGACTGGTAAACAAAGAAATTCATCAGAAATGTTAACTCATATTATAAATGTGGCCTGCCTCCCCAACCCTCATAAGAAAATTGGAGCAGGGAGGAATTCTGCCCACATAATTTTTCTCTAAAACATTATAGTAATCATATTGTTTATCATTGTAAGAGCTTTATGCCTTATCTATAGTATGGAATGTAGCCTAGTTGGGAA